GTATCTACCGGCCACGAACATGCGTTTGCCGACCTCATGCATGAATTTGTCAGTCTGAACATAAGTTTATCGGGCCAGTCCCACGCGCACAGCCTCTAAAAACGTCTAAAACGATGAAAATCATGCATCACAACAGAAAAACAGAGTAGACAAGTCACTTACTTGGAATCAAGGAGTAGATTTGGCAACGGAGGAAAGAAATCGGTGACGGAGATCGTGGCGATGCTATGAGAATCTGGGAAGAACAACAGCAGCAGAAACAGAGCGAAGAGGAGAAGCGCGAAGAGTAGTAACACGATTCTGGGGCCCAAGGATCCTATTTATAGTGATGACGTGGAATACCAAACGTCACCTCGGGCAGCCACGGATTCCCCTCCTCGACGCGCAGCTCCCCTAGGCAATGATGACCCTATCCTCATAGGGTGGCGGCACAGTTCCCAAAAGATACCTCGTGTGCTCAACAGACGCATGTTGTTGAGGAATCCCCGAGCATTCCTCGCGGGGGACTTGTCCCCGAGCACGATACAGGGAAACCCTCGAGTACCCCCACGAGGAGCTGCGTCTCTGGCCCGGGCACGAGGCCCCGAAACGAAAGCAACCTAAGATCAAGCCATGGCTCCTAACCCAAGGAACCACGACTTGGGGGGCTCCTGTTCTGGACTGGGCCCGACTGGCCCAATAGCATTGATAAGGCCCAATCCAAACGGACTTGCTGGGGGACACGCCGACCAAAGGATCACAGTCGTGCCCGACGTACTCCCTGGGGCTACTTGCTCGACCTCCTACTGTCCAGCTCGACCTCACCTCGAGCACCCCTCCTAGGGCAGACTCAGTCCACTGCACCCTCACCTGGGTCCCGAAAAAACCGCGTCCTCGTCCGCCCGCACTTCACGCAGCACATCCAGGAAGGAGACCACATGCGGGTCTCCACTACACACGTAGAACCTGGCAGTTCCTTCATTGGGCCAAACCTGCCCGGCCCAATGAAGGGACCTTGGCCCAGCGCTGGGGGCTATAAATACCCTCTGTTTCCAGAGGGTCAGGTATTCATCATTCTACCCATACTCTTACTATTGCCTGCTCGTGCTCTTACTTACTTCAGCATCGGAGTGTCTTGCAGGTACCCCCCACCTCGTTCAAAACTTCAGCTCGGAGCCAGCCGTGACGGTCCAAATCTGATCACCTCAGATCAATATATATATATATATATATATATATATATATATATATATATATATATATATATATATATATATATATATATATATATATATATATATATATATATATATATATATATATATATATATATATATATATATATATATATATATATATATATATATATATATATATATATATATATATATATATATATATATATATATATATATATATATATATATATATATATATATATATATATATATATATATATATATATATATATATATATATATATATATATATATATATATATATATATAGAATACGAAGAATAAAGGATACGTGTGCATTTATTAAATTAGAGGCCCAAGAAAATTAATAATAGAATTGTTGAGCTTCTCTATAAAATGAAGTTTTTCCCTAAAAAAACAAATAAGTAAATTGTTGAGCTTCTCTATGAAATGAAGCTTTTCTATAAATTATTGATAATACATTATTCTAAAAGTTTGATTTGATATACTATTTATTATATTATCATTTTTCAAAAAATATGATTTTAATTTAATCTTTTATATAATATGTTAATGTCAACAAATTATTATATATCACTTTTCAAAAAATATGATTTCAATTGCTAGTGATTAATATCACAAAAAAACTCAATAAGTTTTTTATTCCTTTTTATATTATTATTTTTCTATAATAATATGTTAATGTTAGCAAATTATTACATATCATCTTTATATTTATTAAGATTCATTAAACACGTAGAGTCATGTAATAATATACACTATCCACCATTTATCACTCTCTTTTATATTATCAGTTTTTATGATAATAATAGGTTAATGTCAGCAAATTGTTATATATTATTTTTCAAAAAGTATAATTTCAATTGTCAGTTTACGTGATTCTAAAAATTTAATTTGATATATATATATATATATATATATATATATATATATATATATATATATATATATATATATATATATATATATATATATATATATATATATATATATATATATATATATATATATATATATATATATATATATATAAAGTCAACGTCAGCAAAATCAGTAGGTAGAGAATTAAGATTCATTGAACTATTGCCCTCAAAATATAATTATAAACTTAAATTAGGAGAAAAAAATTATTAAGATACATCCAATATAAATTTAAATGCAGCAGAGAGAATTAGGGATCTATTAAGAGCTATTTTAATTAAATAAATCAAAATGACATTAGAAGTCAGCACAACAAAACTTGTCAAGATCTTTCGTAATTTCTGCATCTCCAGCATTGTTTTATTACTTCTGACATTTAAAGTGAGAACAAATTCAAAAGATGCATTATCAACCAGTAAAAGGTTAATTACAATAATCTTCTCTAGTATGTGGTGTTGCTATAAGTGAAATAATCATTCCATTCTGCATTAATGTCTACATCATAAGTAAATCTCAACGTCACTCCTCCTACCTCAGTTGTAAGAGATGTTGCTAAACCACCTTTAAGCCCTATCCTCATCAACCAAAAATATAAACCTGCAATGTATAAATCACCAGTTTTCTTATCAAATCTTAGTCCCAAAGGTCTTCCACATACGCGTTCAGTCTCAACATAGCTAAGTGGTGGGCATATACCTTAAGATTGCATAGTTCTGACCTAATTGTTTTCTTCATACTCTACCTTCAGTCATAATTATTTTCTTCATTTGCTGAAAATTTGAAAACCCTACAACAACCTAGACATTTTATCAAACAATTAGTAGGCTATTTTACACTAATTAATTTGAGGCAGCCTAAATTTTACTTACATCTATATTTCAATAAAACAATCGAAACAATAAAATATCAGAGTTTCATCTCTTTTTAGAGACAAAAGATCAAACTTTCATCTCTTTGCAACAACAAATTTGAATCCATGAATCAAAATAAAACATCAAGGATGAGGAGAGCTTTATCGCAGATTTGACGCTGAAATGCAGAAAAAATTACAACAGGAAACAACAGCCAACAATTATTCACAGATGATACGATTAAAGATTGAAACAAAAAAAATACAACATAAACAAAATCTGTAAATTTTCGCAGCAACAAACAGAACATAAATCAAATACAAATTCACCAGATCTGATAATCGAACATTTTCCTAAGAACTTAGAAGATGATGAATGAGTAGATATAATACTCTGAAACTCGAAATTGAAATGGAACCCTAAAAATTTACGACAAAGTGAAGAAAAGAGAAATGAGAAGTGATTTTGCAGTAGATGAAGAAATAGTTATGCAGCTTTTTTTTAAGCCGACGGTGAAGGTCAATGAGAAAGATTCAGCAGTATAAGAACCAAAGAGAGAAAGAGATTTTTCAAATTGGTGTATTACGGCTTTGTACATCTCTTATGTAGTACTTGCACTTGGGAAAATGGAATCGTGCAAAGAGATATGGGAAGTTGTATTTGTGGCTCTCTATGTTCCAAATAGTGTGCATGAACGTGTATTTAAGTTTTCCAAAGGTTTCAATGTATCTATTAATATGGTCAACTTTTAATGTTAATTAAGTTATAAAAAATAAAATTAAAAAAAATATAATACAACAATAAGTCTGGTGATTATAATAGATTATAATTATTTTTATTAATATTTTTTATGAAATTATATTTAAAAATTAATTATTAAAATAATATTTTAGAGCTTGAAGAAAGAGTTATATAAACTCATATATTCAGAGAATATTTTTCAATGTGGGACTTAAAACCATCTCACCAATACTGCTTTGGTTGTACTGCTACTCTTTCATTTTCAACTTGTAGTATAATCTGTGATAGTAATAGATGTTGGTATTGCATTTATTCAACAAATAATCAACATAAGAAATACGTTGCAAACTCATAACACCAAATCATTACGTGAGACTTAGAAAAGATAAGATAGAAATTGAAAACAAACTTCTCAAAAACATGTCTTGCTACTATTCACGTAAAATCTCTTCTTCATTACCTCAAAACACCACCTTCCATCACACCATAATGGCATCCTTTCCATTTTTTTCAACCTTAAAACTCCAATACTTCCATGCACTCTTCTTCTTCATAATAAGTTCCACCATATAAACAACATATCTCACCACTTCATCCAACTCAAACCTCCTCATTAACATCATTGTTTCTAACCACAAAATCACATATCTAACTCACCTACACACATTGGACAATAAAAGCATGGTTTATTTTCAGTTTTAGAGATTTTCCCCCAAATTCATATTCAATTAAATCACCAAGCGCTCAATCTAAACCAAAAAAAATAAATCAACCACAAGAACAACACATACTCATATCCATAAATCGAACAAGTCCAAACTAAAAAATAAAAGAGAAAATTGTGAAAGGGAGGAGGAGAAGACCGACCATAGTTATGGAGACGATGGTTGAAGGGGTGACACTTCTCGTCATCGACGAAGAGTTTAAGTGTGGTTGGAGTTCACAGTCACAGTGATGATGATGGATTTGATCTGTTGGCAGCAACAACAATCAGGTTTACACAATGGTTTTTTTTCTTCTCCGGTGATGGTGGCAGAATAAAACGCGACAGTTCCCAGTAGTGAATTTTGAGTAATGCTTTTTTGTGTTGTTTCTCTTCTTATCTTTCAACTCTGATTTCTTGCTTTGGATCTGAGTTGTTATGCTTTGAAATTGCTATGGTTGTTGTTACAGTGAGAACAAAGAAGGTGAAATAGATGAAGGAGTTGAGATGTGATGCATGGTGGTTGTGTTTTGTGGGTGTAGATCAATTCATATCAAAAAAGGGAGTGAGGTGTGAGAAGATGTTATGAAAGTATGGAATCAATTTGGAGAGGGAAGATTTGGTTTTGTTGAGAGGTTTCTTAGATCGGTTTTGGTGGAATGTTGCTTCGAAGAAGATGATGTAGTAAGGTGGTTTATATGTGGATCTATAGAAAAAGATAGAAATGTGATGAAATGTATCTTTGGTCCAATTTCTGGAAATGAAAGAGAGGAAGTTATGGAGATAGAGAGAAGGTGGTGGTTTCTGTCAATGTTAGCATGACGTTGTTGTTGTCTTAGCCGAAGTTGTAGTCTCGCAGTGGTGGGGGAGTTTCAGATTGTGGAAAGATATGAGGAGAAGGTGGTGAAAGTGGTTTTGATGTGGATGTGATTTGGAGAAGAGGAAGAGGTGAAACAACTTATTTCTTTGTCTTTCTCAAACGTGGTTTGAATTGAGAATAAACATTAACTATTAATAGACCAACATTAATTAAAACTAATTTGAATTAAAAAAAAAAGAAATTCAACAAATATTCTGGTGATGCCACATCATCTGTATTAAATGCCAAAATAATGTGATTGTAGAATTTTACTAATAGTCATATTTATCTCTAGAATAAAAATAGTTTTAATTATTTAATTAGAGGGTTAGAATTATAATAAACTAGTACTTTAAAGTTTATATATTTATAATAGATTAACTGGATATGGTTGACATTTATCAATTTTAATGAAAACGTTTAATGTCAGTTGGATAAAAGATTTTGATGAAATTAAAATATGGATTGTGATTTAAGAGAGGAAAACTTTAACATTTTGATATTGAATAAACTTTCACGTTTTGGTTAATAAGTTAAATGGAATTATGTTAGCCACTTAATTGATTCAATTTTTAATGAGTAGTGCAAGTGCTATCAGATATATTAAGATATTTGATTTACATATATTTTGTAAAGCTATCTTACAAAAATTGGAAAGTAAATTAAAACAACACTTTTGTAGATTGCAATCAAACACGCGTTTCTATTTTTTCATATCAGTGTTAGAGTTAAAGGTGCTTAAGTGATTTCTTCTGACTTTGTTAAGAATTTTATATTGGAATAGGCAAAATCTGAATAACGGTTTATGAGTAATTTTGTCCGACTTCATTCATGTCATGCTTCAAATGTGATTCCTTTCTAATGAAAAAAGCACGGTGAACTAAACAACTTCTAGAGTTGGTTCATATAGACCTTTATGGACCTATAATATGGGATTGATTATATAGTTATTTGTGAGTGTTTCAACAAAATTAATCAAACAGACATAATAACAAGTCGACATGCTGCAACTTTAAATTAATCAAACATACCACAACATCTAAGATTTTGCAAAAACTGAAGTTCATTCAAACTTAAGGTTTACAAACTTCAATCCCACACGTGCACATAGTTATCTTCTGAACTCAATCAAATTTTTGGATTCTCTGCTCAATAACATACCAAATGAAAATCCGGAGTTAAACAACAAAAATAAAATAGCTAGAAACATAAAAGAAATTCAGCAAAATCAACTCTCATTGCTCTACTTATTCGCTAGAAGATCCTGTGGCCATCAAAAAGTCACCCCTCACATACAACTTCACCTCCAACATATGCCTTCCCTTCCATCTTTGCTATTCCAAATCGCTTTTGCAGTTTGATAAGTGTCATTCTCATAACTAAGGTGTCTCCAGCAATCACAGGCTTCCTAAACCGTACTTTGTCTATACCCGGCAAAGAAGAAATTCTCGCGAGAACCTCCCACTTCAGGTTGTAACATAACTAAGCCACCTACCTGTGCCAGTGCCTGCATAAAACACATCACATTCATCACCACAAGCCGTAAATGAAATACGAACAAAGCCTGACAGAGCAAGTAAGAAACCATACCAACATACATATTCTATTCACAATCAATTGAGATCATATGAACATTAAGTTTGTCACAGTTTGCACATTGATCATCATTATATAAATGTAGAGCTTAGCTTATGTTTTTCTGAATTACAAACCCTCAACCACAACCGTCGTAACTACTCTATCTCTTATGTAAAGCTATAGCTTCCAAAATACAAGCAATCACACACCCACATTTCAATAATTGCATAGATCTTTTTTCTAAAATCTAGGTTTACCGGAGAATGAGTTCTAAGAGTAATAAACGAAAGGATTCGAGCAACATCACCTCCTAAGTATACAACCAAAGAAAGTACTTTGTGATAGACAGATTATTCAAAGTTTAAACCATAAATATTTGATTCAATCAACCACACAGTTTAGCATAGCAGAGAAAGCACAACATTGTATACTTGCACAATATGAAGCACAGTCACCGTAAACATGACACTGACGCTGACATGTCGACATCAGTAATAATTTAAAAAAATGAATAAATTAAAAAGGTGCGACAGAGTGCACAATCATATATTTATAATGAAAAAGGTGTTTACCTCAACCATGAGCACACCAGGCATGATAGGTCTTTCTGGAAAATGTCAGGAAAGAAGTTATCATTTATTGTTACATTCTTAATAGCCACTGCAGAAACTCCAGGATTGTATTCAAATCACTCTATCCACTAGAAGAAATGGAAACCTAAACAAAAACCCCCACCAAAACAACAAAGAAATTTAATAACAAAAAACGGAATTAATTAACCAAATAAAACACATTGAAGTGATGCATCCAATAAAAAACACAACTTTATACTTTTACCTGTGCGGTAGAATATCACGAATCTGATTGATATCCAATATGGTTGGAAATGCAGGGTACCCTGCAACAAAAGCAAAAAAATCAAGAAATTGAAGGTGGGTGAGATGGTGAATTTGTGGCGTCAAACGTTAATAAAACACTAAAATGAGAAATTGAATGTGAGTAAAACAAAGATGCACACTTAATTCAATTGGGGTGTTATCTTTTGGAGCATTTGCAGAATCTGAAGAACAAGAGATTGAAAATCCTCTTGTGGCATTGGGGTTCCTCGAGTGGGTAGGTAGATGGAGAGATCTGGAGGCGGTGAATCTGGGAGATGGAGATTTGGGAGCGTAAGAATGGGGAGCGATGGTGTTGGAGAAAGTAGAGGATGCCATTGTTGAGGTACGAACTGTGTTTCCTGATGATTTATGTGAATGGAGTTTGTGGGCGGGTGTAGGTTGAGATAGGGGGGTTAAACTAGGAATTTTTAGTACAGGCGGAAGTAACAAAGGATTCATGTGCAAAACTAACTAACGAGTGTTGTTGTGTTGGGACGGAGTCTCCAACGTTGTTAATTGGTTCAACTACCAAAATGAATAATCTCCTCCACTTTGCAGTTTTTGTAGTTTTTTTTAATAAAATTGGATTCAATAATCTGAATTAAAAAAATAAAATTGGTCTATATACCAACTTTTTTTTAAAAACTTTTTGGTTTAAATAACAATTTTTTTTTAGAATACATTGATTGCTTAACAATTTTTTATAAACTAAATTCTAAATGACATTAATGTTGTATTACTTGACATAGAGTGATGTATCCTCTAACTTTGATTTCAATAAGCCATAACTAGAAAACATCACATCAATTGAGTGTGTGTGCTAGCACATGGTGACATGGTATGCAATGCACACATTAATCCTTATACAATGGAAATGTTGTAGCTAAAAATACAAGTGGAAATAAAGCTAGTACTGACAGTGCTTGAAAGTATTCAACTATGGACTTTCTGCACAAATAGCCGCAGTGTTAAATTTCAATGCTTTCTAGCAAGATACAAGCACATCAAAATTTGGAGGACTATTTTCCTACTTCTTCTTGAATGCACTCGTCAGACTGATAGAATTTTAACGCAGTGGTATAGATCGTTAAATCCACTTGATAAATTGACTGAACTATCTAGAAGAGACACTGTCCTACCAGAATATTCTATACAAAAATAGACTTTACATATGAATCTAATTTGGTTTTAAAATATTATGCATCCACCACTATCAAAATCCTAGCTATCCATCCATACCACAAGCTTCATTTTACATCAAGGGTCTAATACCATTGCAATCAACATAAATATGTTAAGGTGGTCAGGTTTTCCCCAATATTTATTATACTTTGCTTTCATCTTTATAGCCATTGATCTTACCTTTTCAACTTCCGAATTACACATGTTCAGAATGCTTCTTCCAACACCAAAAACCTCAAGCATATACATGTTGCTTGTCACATAAGAAGATCCTGAAATGCACTATGTAGCATCATGAAATATCTAGAAATGGAAATATTAACTCAACATGCTCTCAATCTTCTGGTCTAGGCACTCCTTTGTCCTTAGTCATTTCATTAAAATATTTTCGATCTTTGAATTCTCTCTGTAAAGGTCTTATTATGTTTTAATGCACTTTTCAACATTAGTATTGTTGAGTTCCACCGAGTCTCACAATCTCTTCCAACACAACCTTTATATCCAATTGTTTCATGATCAGTACATTTCTTAAATCTCTTAAACCTTGTAGGAGTACGCCTCTACATACCCCTCACCCGCTGCACGAATTCTTACAACAGATTCATCAACTTCTTTCGGCTCATCCTTCATAATAAGGTTTAATATTGGGCACAACAACGTGTATGAAGGTATTCTCCATTCAAAACTAGGCCATTATGCGAGAGAAGTCCATTTTTTGAGATGTAGAATTCCAACAATCATTTGAGGATGCGTTGTCCACTGTCACACTAAGCCACAACGATTTATTTCCCAACCATTTAAGCACTTCTTAACTGTTTTGTTTTGGCCATAACCTCTCCTGCCAGTCTGTGACTTGAGTAAAATTCAAAATCTTCTTTTGTAGTTTCCAATTATTATCAATGTAATACCCTATGAGACACATGTCATTAGAGTCTTGGGTAGAATGTCCATGTGTTTGTGGTGATACAAACTCGGCGAAAATTTTATGACAAAATAGTCTTCATCTTTCCTTTCTACATGTCCCAATTTCTTCAAAATATCGCGTGACAACGTATTATGTGATGGGAACATAATTTTTTGTTATAAGCCATAAATGAACCTATGTAAATATGGATGCTCTGCTTTGAAACGAAAGTCCCATGGCTACAAACATTTTTGTCAAGTTCATTCAGCTTATTTCTTTGGTCAAATTTGGGAACCGAGAGGATGAATGAACAACCAACTTCCCTATTTTCCATTGAGCTTGAAGGTGGTTCATGCATCGTCACATTCACCACATTATCTGAATTAGCACTACATTTTCTCAAATGAGCTAGCATCGCGCTTGTTTCCACTATTATATTTTGGAAGATCACAATCATGAACATTGTTCTTGCCAACTCCTCTAAAACACAATTCTTGCGCTCCACG